TTTCCCCTCTTGGACTGTGGGCCTTTTCTTTGGTTTCTACCCCCGCAGTTCCATCCCCCCTTGCCTCCCCTCTGCAAGGTCTTTCTCGCCCCTGTTGCAAGGTCTCCGTGCCGTCTGTTGTGGTCCCTTTTCCCCCCACCCGCGGGTCCTTTTTCCCCCTGTTGTGGCTCTCCCCCTCTTGGACTGTGGGCCTTTCTTTGGTTTCTGCTCCCTGGCCCCAGTTCCGTCCCCCGAATAAAGCTCCGCAAGGTCTTTCTCACCCCTGTTGCAGGGTCTCCGTGCCGTCTGTTGTGGTCCCTTTTCCCACCCATGGGTCTTTTTTACCCCCCCTCTTGGACTGCGGGCCTTTTCACTCCCTGGCCCCACCCAGTTCCATTCCCAGCAGCCCCCTTGAATAAAACCCTTCCCTGCCCTCTGGAAGGTCTTTCTCGCCCCTGTTGCAGGGTCTTCGTGCGGTCTGTTGCAGCCTCTTTTCCTCCCGCATGGGCCTTTTTTTACCTCCGTCCCCCTTGGACTGCGGGTCTTTCTTGCCGGGGCGGTCCCCTTTCCCCCTTTGCATTGCGGGAGGGGGGGGGGGGTTCGTTTTGGTGGTGCCAGGAGGCAGAGGGGGGGAAAAAGAACCCGCACATGCGAATGAAAACCCAGCCCGATAGCTTCAGATACAGGAGTCTCGAAGGATGACTATGAAAGAATGCATGCCCCGGTCCCGGGCCAGGTTGGACGCCCCTGAATACCTAGCCTAGCTTACAACATGCGAAGCTGCATATCGCCTCGGAGAAATCTTCGGCTACAGAATCCTTCCGATGCCCAGATAGCTTCAGAGACAGGGGTCTCGAAGGATGACGAGCCCCAGAAAGAATGTATTCCCCGGCCAGGTTGGACCCCTCATGAATACATGATCCTCCCTTTCCTCCCTTGTGCTTGTACGGGTATACCTAGCGTATAAAGAAGGCGGGGCCTCTTCGTGTGTGTTCGGAGTTGTTCGAAGCCAGCGAGGCTAAACAAGACTGACATATGGTGACATGCCAGCACTGGGATGAACTGGGATTTCCTGCAATAAGCCATGCTTCTCCGAGGTACTTCAAAACGATATTTTCAAACCGCTTAAACCTACTATACAAACTAGAAATGAAAACGCAGGAAACAGACGCCTTCAGAATACATTCCCCAACCTCTGGGTAATGTATGGGGGGTGGTAACCCCCCCGCCCCCGCCCCAGAATACATTAGTTAGGAGCCCGCGCGAAAAAGGCGATTTCATTCGCTCAAAGTGCCTTGCGGGCACGGCGTTCCGAGGCTAATCTCAGAACGGCTGTTGCAAAAACAGCCCCAACACGACTCCCTGAAAAACCATCGCAGCTCCTACTACACCTCATACAACAAACTGCAGTGCACACTCCGAAGCCAAACAACCATTCAATACGAAACCTCGACACCGTGCCCACCGCTGACCCGCACCAAGGAGCTCTCAAATCGCGAAAGCAAACTTGTGTCTATACACGGGACTCTCACGATGGACTAGACTTGTCTTTGGTCTTGAGCCGTAGCACTGCGAAGGTGCGGCCGAAACATCAGAGGATCCAGGATGTGTAGTATCGTATTCAGGACGGTAATTTTAACTGCTATTGCTGCTACCTGGCTGCAAAAGTACTATGACCACATTTTTCGCTAGTTCGAAAACTACCGGACGCCCTCAACCCCAAACCCTACACCCTCAACCCTAAACCGACCTTTCACATGAATCATGATCTCTGAACTCGCCCACAACCCTCAGCCGCGTAACAAGCAGGTAAACTCCGAATTCGCAGCTTTGCTAGTATAGAACTGTATCATACTAGCATAGCATAGCATAGCATAGCATAGCATAGTATGGTATGGTACAGTACAGTATGGTATAGTATAGACTTACAGTGTATCTTTCATAGGCAACTCTCTGCACATTTTGAGTGGCGTGGTACTGCAGACACTTACTCCGAACCTATTACTGTTCAACCTTTCTGGAGAAAAAGGACTGCTGCTCAGGGATGCAAGTTTGCCACTGACAACTTTCCCGTAGCCTTAGCTTCGAAGTGTTTGTTGGGTGGCGGCACTTGGCGGCAAGATGTGCCCCTCCCCCCACCCCGCGCCCAAATCCAAAATTTCAGAGCACCCTCCCAAGACTTTTTGGGCCTCTCCAAACCCCCCCACCCCCCCCCCCCCTCCCCGCCCCGGTTCAGAGTTTCGAGGCAGGATGCAGAAACCATCCTGTGCCCGGAAGGTGTTGGAAAGGCACCCCCTGAAAGTGCAGGGTTTTGGGCATAGTTTCCGGGGAGATTGCCCAAGCTTGAAGGCGGCGGGGGGTGTTGGGGGGGGGGGGGGTTTTGTTTGGTGGTGGGGGCGGCGGGGGGGGGGGTATGGGGTGTAATGCTTATTCTTTTCGTTGAGAATTCTGATATGAAGGAGGGTTCATCTGGAGATTGTACAAACTAACCACTCTGCATTGCTCCTGTTGCTGCTACTGTACAGTAGTTTTCTGCGCAGCTGCTCTGCACGTAAGTGGCCGCTGGCTGCAGATTCTGGGTCGATAAGGCCTACAAAACCCTGAGCTATGTTTCACTGAACCCACTTGAAGCTGAAGGCCCAGGTGTTCTCCTCAGAGTAAGACTCTCAGAAATTCAATGGCTCTGGGGATACGTCCTCAAGGCTTGAAAGAACGGAGAGTGGATTTTCACTGAATCTCCAAGTCCCTCAAGTGCCCTCAAGTGGCCTGGAACCCCAAAGCCGAAGAAGACCTTGCTTTTGCTCTTGCTTTTCTCCATCTTTTTCATCTTCTTCCTGCGAGTTCCTGTAGCGCGAGTCTCTCTAGCGCTTCCGGGAAGAGATGATGCGGCACATCCTCGGCTGGAAGGTACGTGGTGGTTTGCATGTGCAAAGCACATGATATTGTGCAATGCAATGCTTAGCTTCGATGCACTCCACAAAGTTAAGGCTTAGGAGATAAGTCTATTCAAGGAATGCATGAGCCATGTGTACTTGGGATCTGCCCAAGCTTAATAGCACGATTTGTGTCCGTCACTCTACCAAAAAAAACCTCCAAAACATGTCTTATTGCAGCTGGACCGGTATGAAACAGTCGAGCAGTTCGCATAACCATAAACCCAAAACCAAAAGCCCGCGTCCTCCAAGGATTGAAGGCCTCTGCCAGACATTTTTTGCCGAGAGGAAGATCCCTGGATTGTCTCTGCCACCCTAAGCTTTTGAGTTTAGGGTTTAGGGTTTAGGGTTTAGGGTTACAACCCTAACCCCTCTCAGAGCCTGGGATATCCTGGGATCACCCGGACTAAAGGCCCGAACTGGTTTAGGAACTCAGGGGATTTGGGGTTTGGGAACCCTAAACCCTAAACCTCTCTACCATATAACCCTAAATGTTAAACACGAATTTGGCGTTTTCACCCCCATTGTTCAGCACGAATTTGGCGTTTTCACCCGTCCGACCCGTTTGGCCCAGCACGAATTTGGCGTTTTCACCCGTCTGATCCATTTTGCCCCCCATTGTTCAGCACGAATTTGGCGTTTTCACCCGTCTGACCCGTTTGGCCCCCCCATTGTTCAGCACGAATTTGGCGTTTTCACCCGTCTGACCCATTTGGCCCCCCAGTGCTCAGCACGAATTTGGCGTTTTCACCCGTCTGACCCGTTTGGCCCCCCCATTGCACGAATTGGCGTTTTGACCCGTCTGACCCGTTTGGCCCCCCCATTGTTCAGCACGAATTTGGCGTTTTCACCCGTCTGACCCATTTGGCCCCCCATTGTTCAGCACGAATTTGGCGTTTCACCCGTCTGACCTGTTTGGCCCCCCCGTTGTTCAGCACGAATTTGGCGTTTTCACCCGTCTGACCCATTTGGCCCCCCATTGTTCAGCACGAATTTGGCGGTTTCACCCGTCTGACCCGTTTGGCCCCCCATTGTTCAGCACGAATTTGGCGTTTTGACCCGTCTAACCCGTCTGGCCCCCCCATTGTTCAGCACGAATTTGGCGTTTTCACCCGTCTGGCCCATTTGGCACCCCATTGTTCAGCACGAATTTGGCGTTTTGACCCGTCTGACCCTTTTGGTCCCCCCATTGTTCAGTCTGACCCGTTTGCCCCCCCATTGTTCAGCACGAATTTGGCGTTTTCACCCGTCTGACCCACTTGGCCCCCCATTGTTCAGCACGAATTTGGCGTTTTCACCCGTCTGACCCGTTTGGCCCCCCCATTGTTCAGCACGAATTTGGCGTTTTCACCCGTCTGACCCGTTTGGCCCCCCATTGTTCAGCACGAATTTGGCGTTTTGACCCGTCTAACCCGTCTGGCCCCCCCATTGTTCAGCACGAATTTGGCGTTTTCACCCGTCTGGCCCATTTGGCACCCCATTGTTCAGCACGAATTTGGCGTTTTGACCCGTCTGACCCTTTTGGTCCCCCCATTGTTCAGTCTGACCCGTTTGCCCCCCCATTGTTCAGCACGAATTTGGCGTTTTCACCCGTCTGACCCACTTGGCCCCCCATTGTTCAGCACGAATTTGGCGTTTTCACCCGTCTGACCCGTTTGGCCCCCCCATTGTTCAGCACGAATTTGGCGTTTTCACCCGTCTGACCTGTCTGACCCGTTTGGGCCCCCCATTGTTCAGCACGAATTTGGCGTTTTGACGCGTCTGACCCATTTGGCCTCCATTGTCACGAATTTGGCGTTTTGACCCGTCTGACCCGTGTGATTGTTTGGCCTCTTGGTGCGTCTGAGCAGACATTTGGCCTCCATTGTTGAGCACGAATTTGGCGTTTTTGACCCGTCTGACCCGTGTGATTGTTTGGCCTCTTGGTGCGTCTGAACAGAAATTGAAAAAACTTTGTATTTTCTTAAAGTTATGGGATTCTTTGGGCGGGTGGGTTTTTTTCCGTTGCCTACACACACTGCTGGCCTAGTAGATGCTCGAACTTGAGATGCTGACCAAACTTAGTTTACCAGGGCCCTTCGAAGCATCACTCTAGAAGCCGCTCATACCCCAGTATCCGTAACCCCGCAAGCCGAAGAACAGAATCGCTCATGCTACGCAAATCAAGACCTAACACCCCCAACCCATCCTAAAGCCCAAAAACCTGAAAAAAAGGCCCGAGGTTCTTGTGGATGCCGATAAAGCCGGCCAGGGTCACCAGCAGCCTCGTTTATCAAAAAGAGCTCTGAAACACCAACGAACCCACGTAAACCTCCAACCACTTAAGCCTCAAAAAACCCAACAAACCCAAAACACATGCCCCTAAACCCTATAAGCCCTATATCAGAAAGAGACAACCAACGTAAGCTTCAACTCTGGGAACAGAACCCTAAACGCCCAAACCTAAACACCAAACCCCAAACCCCAAACCCTGAACCCCGAACCCTAAACCCTAAACCCCAAACCCCTAAGCCTGGTGTCACAAGTCAGGCAGGGCGGCATAGCCGTTCCGGCCGAGGGGAGGAGCCCCCCGAGCCTGAGCCTTAAGGGACTCTTAGAAAAGGACATTTAAGAGAGACTCTTAATGCTCTACTCTTCGTTTTACTGTACCGTCTAGCATACTCTACTACACAGTATACAAAATAGGTCTTAGGGGATTTCGGAACCTTTGGAGGGTCTTGTCGGGCTAGGGCTTCAGGCTTTGAGCTTCTTGGGCTGAGGGTTCAGGCTCGCTTTGGGGTGTATCCAGGATCAGCCTCGAGCATTGGCTTTGTTGGTGTTCAGCCCCGGAGTTCGGGTGTTGATGCGTGTTGTTGGGCGTAAGATGCATCTTGCGGTCTCATGACCTCGGAGCACAATTCCGCGGATTCATGCAACGAAGCCCCAAACCCCCAACGCCCCCCTAAACTCTCCTTGATCCCTCTGAAAAGCCCTCCATCGGGACTACCCAAGGCCACCGCTTGTAATGCTTACGCTCGGACAAGCCAGGCGAGGTGCAACACGTCCCTTTTGTCTCCATCTTTTTTCCTGCACGCTGTCTGCGAGTTCCAAGCGCGAGTTGTCTAGCGCTTCCGGGATGAGATGATGCGGTACATCTTGTGGATGCCGAAAAAGCCGGCCAGGGTCACCAGCAACTGCACGGAGGCGTAGCCGTTCCGGCCCATCCAGGGGAGGAGCCCCCGAGCGATGGGTGCGGCAATGACCTTGGCCACGGCCATGCTCAGCATCTTCTGGTTGATGAAGGCCTGTCGGCTGTATCCCTCTTCACCAGTTGCGAAGAGGATGCAGAGGCCGTCCGAGATTCCATTGGCTGCCATGGTCATGGTCATCATCAGCGCGTCGGCAGCGTACAACGACCACCAGGGCCAGAAGTTCATCAGGAATGGAGCTGTCGCGACACCCACGAAGGCAAAACACAGCATCAGTATCGCGCGGAAGTCCACATCTGGGGGAGTGCATGCTACGATGATGTTGGCCAGAAAGGATCCCGCCGCGATGGCGCCGAAGATCCATCCGGTGATCAGGGGCGTGAAGCCGAACTCCACCTGGGAGATCATGGTGGTCGCTACTTCTATGGAGGCCACGGAGAAGGTTCGCTCAAAGTTGTAGACGATCCCTGCGCGGAAGAGAGCGGTACGATCCGACCCCACAAGGCTCGCGACTGCGTCGTTCTTGGGGCTCCGATGGGCCTCCTTCTCCTCGGGGGCAGACTGCGCGGACCCGCGCGGCACCAGGAGCATCAGAATACCGAGCAGGAAGAGTAGCATCAGGACAAACAGCATCACGGGCGCTGCCCCGGCTTCCAAAGCTTCCTCGGTCTTCTCGCTGCCTGTGAGGTGCACGAGAACCAGGGCAAAGGAGGAGACGAGGTTGCCCAAACACTGACCCACCCCGTAGGCGCCTTGAACAGCTGTCTGCAAATTGAGCATCTCGTGCCCGGGTGTCATGGCAAAGGCGAGGAAACCGCCAAAGAGGAGGCTGAGGCCAGCAAAGCCTCCCGCGAAGCTCCTGGACACGATCAAGCAGTACCACCGTGCCGTGTCCGACAACGGAACACAAAGTGCGATGACAAAGAGGGTGTGGAACATGAGCTGCAAGAAGGTGCTGGCAATGGCACGCCTTCGTAGGAAGTCATGAGAACTGTTGGTCAAGACTGTCGCCGGCACGAGGTAGGCCATACCAGCTTGTGCTGCTAATGCACCTAGGCTGGTGGTGGAACACAGGAATCCGGAGGCTGCAGGGGAGTAGCCCAGGTACTCTGCCAGGGGCAGTGAGACGGTCAGGAGCATGCCCTGGCCCACAGTCACCATCAGTGCGCCGAGCACGTAGACTGCTTGCCCAGCACGCCGGCCGATCCTTGTTGAGAGCGTGAACTGAAACATCTCACCGATGAAGAAGGCGGCACAAATACTTCCAACCACGGTCAAGAAAATGCCCACCTCCGCCCGAAAGGCGTGACGCCACGAGGAGCGTAGATCGCCTGGCTGAAGATCCAAGACGTCAGGCAGTGATGGTGCAGTGACGCCGGCATGCTGTACCAAAGCAGTGCTGGTGTTGGCCTTTACGGCATCTGACACGTTCACTGCGAGCTGCACACCAAACACCACGTGCGCCAGTGTTGCAGACAACGCAAGTACTGCGCGAAGCTGCATCGCCATCGCACGATACAACTGGAGCTTCCGTAATTTGTTCCCACGCCCGCGAAGCCAATGCCAAAACTGATCTTCAAACAGGGCCTCTCGGTACAGTGCCGCTTCTGCGTAGCTTACATGAGAAGGGTAGAATGGGGAAATGGGGAAGCTAAAAATGTCAGGACCCGGTTTGTGGCTGGGAAGCTTACGCATGGAGGCTGTACGGTAACGCTATCAGCGGCTGAGCCAAAAGCATACACGGAGAAGAGCCTCACCCTCCGCCCCCCCCCCCAGTGCGCGCAACGTAGCAAAGAAAAATCCACTGTACTATTCTACAGTATATCATGCATCACAGAATTATAGTATGGAATAACATCACCACTTTAGACAGCTTAGTATTGGTTGTACACCACAGCGTGCTAGTGTGTTGTCCACACTGTATTACACGATACTATAGTTTAGTATATGAAGCCTCAGTTTGTCAACTTAACTAAGTCTTCGGTGCAAGGTCCACCTAAGAATCGAAACAGTAGAGGCGCATATTGGCATTCTACTGCAAAGCCACCCCTCGTCTGAGCCAAGTACAACCTGAAATCATCTAATACGTCCCCAGAGCCACCACTCAAAACCCGCAATCACTGGACCCGATATCAGTAGCGGTCATAGTCGTAACCGCAGGTAGTGGTGGTAGGTAATGGTGGTAGTGGTGGTAGTGGTGGTAGTGGTGGTAGTAGTGGTAGTGGTGGTAGTGGTGGCAGTGGTGGCAGTGGTGGTAGTGGTGGTAGTGGTGGTAGTGGTAGTGGTGGTAGTGGTGGTAGTGGTGGTAGCGGTGGTATAGGTGGTATGTGGCAAGGACTTTAGGGTCTTGTGAGGTATCTCCTTGGCCACAAGGGACAGAGTACTTGAAACAAAGAATCCCCCGATTTTCTGTTTCAAGTGTTTCAAGTTTCAAGCGTTTTAAAACACTTGAATCGGAAAATCACCCGATTTTCTGTTTCAAGTGTTTTAAAACACTTGAAACAGAAAATCCCCCGATTTAGTGGTGGTGGTGGTGGTGGTAGTAGTAGGAGTAGGAGGAGGGGGAGTAGTAGTAGTAGTAGTAGTAGTAGTAGTAGTAGTAGTAGTAGTAGTAGTAGTAGTAGTAGTAGTAGTAGTAGTAGTAGTAGTAGTAGTAGTAGTAGTAGTAGTAGTAGTAGTAGTAGTAGTAGTAGTAGTAGTAGTAGTAGTAGTAGTAGTAGTAGTAGTAGTAGTAGTAGTAGTAGTAGTAGTAGTAGTAGTAGTAGTAGTAGTAGTAGTAGTAGTAGTAGTAGTAGTAGTAGTAGTAGTAGTAGTAGTAGTAGTAGTAGTAGTAGTAGTAGTAGTAGTAGTAGTAGTAGTAGTAGTAGCAAAGCGCGCCCTTGGGCGCCTGCCATTCGGGTGCGTTTTCTGCTCTTCTGCGGGTGGGTGGGGGGGGGGGGGATGATAACGTCCATGCCATGTCGCACATGCCGAACGCATCGTGTTTTACAGTGTTTTCGCCTCCCGGAGAGGACTCGCGGCCAACGCCTCGCTAGTAGGGCATCGCTGAGATGCCACTATGCTTTTTCCGAACCTGCCTAGGGCACAGGGCATTTTTGTTGTTTTCGGCGCCGAAAAACAGCTGGCTCGCAACCCTGAATGCGTGACACTCTGAGTTATTCTCCAGATTTCGAAAACCTGTACGTTTGGTGAGTCTGACGCAGACTCTTGCGGCTCACGTGCAGGCTTTTCCAGGGGTTCGAAAGGCATGTCTCCATGGCTCCCGGTAACCTTGGCGATCTACTTGGTTTTGAGGCATTCCTGTGTAGTTCGGCTGCCGGAACTTAGCAGACTCAATGCCTGCAGCGTGCATGAGCTCACCGAAGTGTTCGACGTGCTCACTTCTTGGCACCCAGTTGACAGCGCCGAGTACGTGGCTCTGTACGCACTGTTCAGAGAGTCTTTCACGAGAAGACGCGGGAGCATGAGCATGGACTTCCCGAGTCTGATTGCTGCGGCGCAAACTGTAGCACCTTGGCAGGCACACAGTGTCTGGACTCGGACTGGGGTGTTTTGAAACGATTCATCAGTGCGAAGGCCAATCGCACCCATCGCGACGACGGTGGCTGTAAAGACGGTTCGCCTTTCCTCAAGAATCGGATTCACCAGTGGGTCTTTCGCAAGTCTTGGTCTGGTGACACTCCAAACTTGCTTTTGCAAGCTGTGCTTCGAGCACTGCAGCAGTAAATCTTTCTCTGTCGAAAGCCGTGCAGCAGGGGAATGCCTGGCAGTTCCAAAAATGCTGCCGACACACACCTTTTGACTTCAGGGATGGGCTTCAGGGTACGGGGGGACAACCAAGGAAGGAAATCAACTCCCCTAATCGCCCTGAACTTATATTTCCCAGATCGAACCAAGAAACAACCAAGAACACGGATAAGAGCAACCCAGGGGGGAAGGAAAGGGGGAAGGAATCCACACCCTTACCAAACCCTAAGAACCCAGGCACTTCTTTTTTAACTTGTGGCTTTCTGTTCAAGCCCATCTTGAGCCAAATACGATTACCGGGTTCATTAACCCTTCCAACTTCCAACACTAACTCCTTTCTACAATACCAATTGCAGCTCCGCACTCCCCCTGTCCTAGGATTTCCTAGGACACATTGGAGATGCAGATCTTTTGGCCAAAAACTGCCATTACGGCAGCAGCCAGCTGCTTGAAATGCAAATTGTGGTTTAACGTCTTCCAGGACGGAATTATAGCACATTGGCTAACCTACTACCCATAGAGAATCTTTTTTCACCTTGATCCTCTCATCACTGAAGACTCCTTGGCCTTCTTCACCACAAACCGTGGTCTTCGCTACGCGAAAAGCTACTGACTCCTACTATCAGGGATTTCCATACCCTTAATAGTAACCACCACATTGTCAGCACATTGGCTGTTCCAGCGCACCGGTCTCCAGAAAGAGAAAAACCATCCCTTCATCCATACCATCCAATCACTTCTTTTTCCGATTGTTGGCAATCTTGAGGTGAAGTTGCAGCAGAATATACTCCAGGTCCGAAACTGTAAGAACAGGATCCTGTATGCCCCTTTGAATTGAGGATACCAATCCTTCTCTCTTCGCATCCTCAATCGCCTGGCAAGATTGATCCAGCTCTTCATTCGCATTGGCAGACCCTGGTGCCTCCGCATCGGATGGACGATCCTTTTCCTCAGGATCTTGCACCATTACCACCTCTTCTTTTTTGGGACTCTGACTTTTCTCCTTCTTCTTTGTCTTTCCACCGACATTTGACTTTGTGCGCGCTTTTGAGGCTTTTTCCACTGCAGAAACCACCACATTGGATGATGATCCACCCTTCTCAATGATCGCCGGCATCTTCTTCGGCTTTGGAACCATAAGGGTATAAGGATCTTCGATAGCTGCAGCTTTCCTCTTCTTTTTTACCTTTTTCTTCTCCTCCTCAACGGCAACCTCCGTCTCCGAAGTCTCAACCACTTCTTTTTCGGCAGGAATATCTTTGCTGGACTCCCCTTCTAGGGACCTCTTTTTCCCTTTTTTGGGATCCTTTTCTTCTCCCAAATTGGCTCGCTCATACCATATCCTCAGGTCATTGACCCATTCTTCCACCTCCGCGAGCGAAACATCGTACGACTTCACTACTTCGAGAAGTTCCAGCACTGACAACATTTCAGTGGTCCACGAAACCCATACTTGATCCATTTGGTCAGCATCTCCAGTGAACTTCAGGAGTTTGAACAATGGGTCCGCCTCTGCTCGAGCCAAATCTGGCTTGCCACCGGAGAGAAATGAAATCGCCTCCATCAACAGTTCCGTCATCTTGGTCTCTTCGTCATAAACCATAAAATCCTCCTCATCATCATCGAACTGTTCAGGAGGGATCTCCTTTTCTCCACCATTTGCACCAGACTTTCTCCTTGGACCATCCCTTGGGGGTGTCCTTGGAGACCTTGGCCTCTGTTTTTCCAACGGAACACCATGCTCGAAGACACACCTGTCACCAAATCGACACTTCCCAGACCGAGCAAACTGGACACACCTCACACCAGTTGCATCATGCGAGAACCCACAATCCTTTCCAGCGAAACATTCTCTCCCTGCCACATAGTATTTGCACCAATATGAATGTAGCACCACATCATCTTCGGAATGGATGAATTTGCAGTCGTCACCAAATTTGCAGCGATCTTTCCCTTTGCCAAACCAATAGCAGAAACCCTTCTTCCTCTTCTCCAAGCGCTTCTGCCTCATACCGGTCCATAGGGCGATTGTGCTCTACATGAACATTGCCATGTACCTGGGGACTGCTCCCTTCACCCGACGTGCTATCAGTATTTGGTGCTTGGAGTACAGCTGGAAAACCTGGCCTTGGTCCTACCACCTTCATGATCGGTTTTCCGCCAACTCCTGAGCCATGCTGAGACGATCCAAAAACATTGAACATCTTCGTGAAGGCCTTCCTAGCGCCAATCTTCTGCACCCTTTTGATTGGACGTTTCATTGCTCCAACCTTGCATCCAGATGCATTCAAACGACGCAACCTTCTAAACCCAACTCTATGTCCCTTCTTCCAAAGAGCCATAAGAATTTTAGAGGCAGTAACATTCTCCACCTCTACCTTTTCCAATGATCCCTCACTTCCCGGAACAAACCCATCCATCTCTGAAGACCTTTCCATCTTTTTTGACACCACTTCGTCGAGGTAGTCTTCTGAAATCCAGGGAAAGTTCCCCTTAGAGGAAGGATTGTCATCATTGTTTGGTCCTTCACCAGGATATCCTTTGGTGCTGTCAAAGATCTTACCAGTAGTGCGGTCCTGCATAGAGAAATTCGAAGCCACGCGGGAGTACACTGACCACAAGAAAATCCTTGTGTCCGCCAGTCTGGATGACCCACTGGATTTCTCCTCTTCCGGAGAAACTTCTGGCGCTTTGCCCTTCCCTCCAGTGTCACCGCTTGTCTCACCTCCAGCATCTTCAATGGGAATAAGGGATTCATTGTTCCCTTGATCAAGCACCGCATCCTCTAGTCCAAGAACTTCCAGCATCGCTGTCGAAGGATCCACCTCCTCATCCGCATCGTCGTCCATCCTTCTCCAGAGAGCCTCCAATTGGTCCGCACAAGTCGCCGCTTGAAGAAACTCCATCAACCGAGCCCTCCCGCGCTGCCAGAGAAATTCTGAAACCAT